AGGAGCAGGGGAAGAACTGTTAACCCAAACTTTGACAAAATAAGTCAAGGAACACCAATGCCATTTAACATATATTTATTGAAATCTACTCGATGCAAGGCACTGTGCTAGATCTGTAGGGGAATCAGACATGAAGGGTCTCCCCTGTCTTATAAGAGCTCACAATCTAACAGGCAGGGGGGCAGGTGGGGAGGGCAAAGCTCTAGTGCAAGGCTGATTATAGTAAGTGCCATAAAACAGACAGGTTAAGGAGACCAGGGAGGAGTGAGAGAAGAGCGCGAACAACTGAAATGTGGACTGGGGCAGACGTGGCTACCATTCTTAGATACGCAAAGAACACTGACGGCCAAGTTAAAAGAGACCATTTTTAGTTTTGAAGGTAAACACCTAAACTGATACAATGAGAAGTACAGAATGTAAGTATACTAGTAATAGAGAAATTCTCAAATCCCCGATCTGACAAGTTCTCCGGAAGTTGACTTAAACTCATTTCATGGGACAAACGGGATCCTGTATGGATGCCTGGACAGAAAGGCATTGGTCAAACTCACTGAGACCAAAAGGCATAGATTTTTACCCATCTGAGTGAACAGAAGACAGTACCACATTTAAACAGGTGTTGACGACAGTCAGGTAGGACTTGGGCCAGGAACTCGAGCCGGTAGAACAGGAGGAAAACCAGCCACGTGATTCTTAGGAAGCAGCCAAGTGGTAAAAGGCAACTGACTCTTGACGGGTGACAGAAAGCAGAGACCCACTCAAGCTGGCTCAGGTCAAGGGAGCCTAGGGTGGGGACACAAACGAACTGATGGGGGCAGCTGCCAGAAATCCAAGTACATGTGGCCAGACTCCTGCGGGGTGCTGGAGTGGAGGCAGCTCTGGAGTGCTTGGCAGGAGCCCACAGATCTTCAAGCTGATGCCACCCATGGGGTCAACTCTTCTAAATACCATGTGGCTCCCACTTTCTTCCAACACCAACTAGAAACTTCTCTCTCATTTCTCTTGTTTGTACTTCACAGACAGCGAACCTCAAAGGCCCAGCCTGTCGCCTCCAGACAGCTCTGATGACTGGTTGCTGCCCTGAGTCAAGTGTTTGGTTCTGGTTCAATGAATGTGGCCTGGGGTTCAGGGTGAGGGTCCCAGGGCATGCGACAATGCTGAAGCCCCGGGACCGTGGAATGCCAGCACTGCGACTGCGTAGGGCTCGCTCTGGAAATGCAGAAGTGGGTGTGACACAACTAATCAACACAGTTCATCTTAATAAGCAGCAAAAATGGTAAACAACAACTTTCATTTAAAAATTTCAGCAAGTATTCAAAACTTTAATAAAAGCAATGGAAGGTTTCTTTCAGAGTATAAGAAAAGGTTAGATCTCCAACGAGAGTCAGCATTCTATGTAACCCAACTGCTCTTCATTTCCCTTGCAAAAGGGATGTGTGTGATTAGAAAGCAAAAACGAAATGAGGTAGATACACAAATGCATAGACGAGCACACACTATAGGAAGCTTGATCACATCTTGCATATGACAGCGCAGTACACCTATGGAATCCAAGGAAATCCACCCCCGAGTCATTAGAGGCAAAAATGGAGCTGGGCGACACTACAGGACACATGTTAAAGCCACAGACTGCTTGAGCTGTAGAGAGCACGGATGTCACCCGCAAACACAGTGACAGAAAAGATGCGGTTAGTGTTAACTCTAGGAGAGGGTCTGTTTCAGAGAAAATGCGAGAACTGAGAATGGAAGAAGTCAGGAGGGTGTGACGGGATGTCAGGGCACCGCGTCCTGGAGGGGGAGGAACGGAGCAGTGGCGAAAACGTGGGGCTCTGAGCTACCAACACTGTATCTGGATCCTTCAGAGATGCTGACGCATGGCTAGCGAACAAGCAAGAGGTGGCCGAGCACTTCCAGCGGATGTCGCCCGACTTGCCCCCTGTGAATGTCAAGTTCCTTACCGGATGACAGTTGTGTCGACCATGTCCTGACAGCTTGCAAAGAGCAAATGGATGCAGAAGGAAGCAGTGATTTCAGACACAGTTTCACAACTGTGAGAACTGAGGCCATAGAGCGCGAGACTAACAAGTGTAACAAGTGCCTGGGGGTCAGGACGGAGACGTCACAGAGAGCCACTGTTGTGGCCTGGGGGCCGGTCCAGACGACCTTCTGGCTAAGGTCACAGGGGTCACCAAGGGACCCCGCTTTCCAGGATGGGGGCCTGAGAAGCCCCTCCAGGTATGCTTGCCGGGAAGCTCGATCTCGGCGGGCCCATCGGGAAACGCTGACCTCCTCTCTGGGCCCGCTAGTGGCTGCCCCCACCTGGGCACAGCTGCTGGCAAGTCACACCACAGCCCCGGTGTGGCTGGCTTCTACCTGCGGGGTCTGCAGGTCACTGGAGGCCAGGTTTCTGGCCAGCCCTTGCTGCTGTTTCTCCTGGGGGAGGCTGTTGCGAGTAACAGCCCAGCCCCAGGATGACCAGCTTCCATTTCTATGCCACACGGGCCGTCAGAAGGGCACCATCGCCCTCTGAACCCTTGTTTTATTGCCCCTCCTGGGCAGGGCCGCTGAGAGTCACAGCCAGGGCCTGTGGCGCCAGCTTCTGTCACCATGATGCACAGGGCATCAGAGGGGCACGGCTCTTTGAGCCTCTGCTCTGAGCTCCTCTTAGCTGTAGCTGCAGGAGGTTAACATCAGAACACCTGGGTGAATTTCCCCCTAGCTGCCCAAAGCAAAAGCCACCAGACCAACCTCTTCCTAGTTGCAGCGTCACTCCTTGGGAGGAGGACGCAATCCACGTGACAGCATCAGTCAAGGGAGTCTTCTCATGTTCGAGGAGATGTGTCTTGTGTGGCTCTGCTGCTCAGGCAGTGAATCCATGCTGGGCATGGCCAAAGCTCCCAGGAGCTTGATGGACAGCCAGCTGCAGCCAAGACCACATCTGGACTACCCCATTGATCTAGTTGAGGCCCAGGCCTGCTGCTGACAGGCCGGGCTATACTGAGGAACAGTCAGAATGTTCTGGCCAATCCGAGATGGAAGTTTCTCTTGCATGTCTGTGTGGCCAGGCTGGATAGTCAAGTCCCACTCACAGAGACGCACTGAGTCTGCAACTTGGATGAGGAGAGAGCCTGCTTCTCTGGCCCCTTCCCATCCAGCCTGCCCACCTGGAGCATCCACCTTCCGGTGGGGCAGGGCTTTCAACTTTTCATTTGTAATCAGAATTCCAGAAGAAAACATCATCATATTGAAGTACTGAAGCAATGGAAGTTACGGCTTAACGGACAACGGTGAGTGCTCGGGTTCGTAAAACCTAAAACTCGCAGGACAAAAGTGTAATAAAGCTGCTACCAAGAGCAAAGCAATCAAAATGGAAAAGAGATCATCACAATCGCTCTAGAACGAACAGCTGTATAAAGTCAATATATCCAAAGGTAACTTGATAACTGGTCAAAGGAGATGAACGTACAATCTGCATGCAAGAAAACAGGAACACAATTTAAGTCACTGCACGAGAGAAAGAAGATGAGACTAGGAGTCAGGAGGCCTGGGTCCACCCCCAGTTCCAGTACTAATGAGCCATAGAATGCCAGCGGTAATTATGGCGATGACAGCAGATGACCTTCACTGAGTGTGCACCTTCGGACCAGGCGTGGCATCATGGTTCTCATGATAACCTTAGGAGGTAGTCCTGTGATCACCCCTGTTTTACAGAGCCCAGAACGGAGGGCTGGTTGCGTGGGGGGAGAGGCTATCACTCCCAAAAAAGAGGCATCATCTTATACTTGAGTCCTTGAGACGCCCCTGTTATGGGCATGCTCTCTCAGCCACTTGAGCTTGAACAGAATAGTGCTGCTGGAGGACAAGACCTATTAACCTGAAACGGACCCCAGCTGATGATAGTTTTGGATGCACGGGGATGTCACCAGAATGAAGTGGTTGAAAAAAAATGGATGCAAAAGCAATTTGACCCAGATTCAGTACTTGTTCCTGGGAGAATGACCTCACAACGACAAGTTCTAGATGCTTCCAAAAAGTCTTTTAAAAGTCATTTGAAAAAGCCGAACCCGTTAAGTGGTGATGCTGTAGAGCTATAGGACAAATTGAGGAAAAAAAAAAAAAGCAGAACAAAACAACCACAAATGTCCTAATGTAATGAGAACATGTATTTATGGCTTGGGAGGCGGTTTCTAGTGAGAGCCTCGTGCAGGGATTGTCACAGTGCTGCATGGTGTACAGCTCAGACGCACGGAAGCCGTCCGAGATGCTTCCGAACTGTCAGATGACTTGAAAGGGGCGACGAGGTTGGTGAAGATGGTGAGGTCAGAGATGCATGTGAGGATTTAGAATAAAATGATCTTGCGTAGCGGCGTGAGGGAAAAAAGGAGTATTCTCTAAATTAATATATTATTCTATGTAATTTGTGATTTACAGTATGTATGTATAGCTGAATTAATAAATTAAATATTATAAGACATCTGAGTGTTCTATCTACATCCCTAAAAATTTATAAATTCAAGTAGGCCAAACAACTCTGGGGCGCTGTCTTGTCTCCAGGAAAGCGGGGGTCACCTTATGTTGAGGCCCTCGAGGACTAGCTCTGTGCCTCGCTCTGGGGGTGAGGCAGAGCAGCCCCATGAAGGGGACCTACAAGCCCCCCTCTGGTGACACCTGCACGTCGCTCTTCTCTCCTTCTCAGTTCCGAGGCCTGTGGATTCCTTGAAGGTACTTGATGCCAGTCATACTAGTCCAAATAAATTAGAATGTCCTAGAAGCTACTCTCGATAGGCAAGATGGGAAACGTGTACACTTAGAAATTGCTGGTGACAGTATAAATTGGATCCGACCTTTCTGACGAGAAAATAGATAAGCGCTACAAAAGTGTTCATCTCCTTTGACTCCGCCCTCCCGCTCTCGGGGACTGGGCCCAGTGGGCCGCCACCGCTGCCGCCGCCACTGCCGCTGCCACTGCCCGCCAAGGGGGGGGCTCGGGGCTAGGGGTGTGGGGCGCTCCTCTAGTCGCGGTGGCTCGGCTGGTGCTTCTGCAGCGCCGACCGCCTCTTGAACACGCGGCCACACTCGCCGCACTCGCAGCGCCGCGCTCCGCTGTGGGTCCTGCGGTGGCGACTCAGGCCCGAGCTCCGGCGGAAGGCCTTGCCGCACTTGTCGCACTCGTACGGCTTGAGTCCGCTGTGGATGCGCCGGTGCTTGATGAGGTCGGACGGCCCGCGGAAGGCCTTGCCGCAGTCGCCGCAGCCATACGGCCGCTCGCCTGTGTGGATGCGCTGGTGCTCCAGCAGGCTGGAGCTCTGGCGGAAGGCCTTGCCGCACTGGCCGCACTCGTACGGCTTCTCACCCGTGTGGATGCGCCGGTGCTTGGTGAGCTCCGAGCTCCTCCGGAAGAGCTTGCCGCAGTGCGGGCAGCCGTACGGCTTGGCGCCGCTGTGGATGCGCTGGTGCTCGGCCAGGCCGTTGACGCCGCGGAACGACTTGCCGCAGTCGTCGCAGTCGAAGGGCAGGTGGCCCGTGTGCGCGCGCTGGTGCTTGAGCAGCTCCTGGCGATCCGGGAAGTCGCGGCCGCACGCCTTGCAGGCGAACGGCTTCTCGGCCGTGTGCAGCTTCTGGTGGCGGAACAGGTGCGTGCTCACCTTGAATGAGCGGCCGCACTCCTCGCAGTCGAAAGGCTTCTCCCGGCTGTGCACGCGCAGGTGCTGGCTGAGGCCCGCGTTCTTCTTGAACCTCTTCCCACACTCCTCGCACTCGAAGGGCTTCGCCTCCCTCTCCGCCGGCTCCCTTTGCTCCGCGGCCTCTTCCAGGGCGCGGCTGGGGCCCGGCTGCGGCTCGGCAGCCACGTGGCTCTTGCGGTGCTCATTGAACTCGGAGACCCCCCGGAAGACCCTCCCGCAATCGCTGCACTCCCAGCCCTTCTCCTCGCTGTGAATCCTCTGGTGCTGCACCAGGAGGACCTTGAGCCGAAAGGCGTCCCCGCACTCCTTACAGGAGAAGTGATGCTCTATAGGCAGGTCCTGAGGGCTGCCCCCCCGGCCCCCAGCGTCCCTGTTCCGCTTGACCTCGGGACTGGGCTCGCCCGCCCGTGGGGAGCTGCTGGAGGCCATCTCCTGCGGCTGCGCTTCTTCGCCCATCACCTGCCGCTCGCGCGCCCAGACGCCTCCTGAGAGGAGAAGGACGAGGTTACTCTCCTTTGTCTGCCATCCCGTTCCTGCAGAGGCGGCTGCTGACCGCGGGGCCCGGGGCGGCTGTGGCACGACGGCTGTGCGCGTCCAACCAAAAGCCGGGACTGCGGACGAGAGGGGCAGCGAGGCCTCACCGCCGCACCAAAGCGGCCGAGGACATCTCCCCTTCGTGCTGGAGAAGCAGCCACATCCCCTCCCCAGAGTCTCAGCCGGGTCCCCCCCCCACCCCCCGCCGAATTTTTCACTTTTCAGGTTTCTTTCTCACTCACCAGAACACTACTTCGCTCAGTCTGCACTAAGGGGTGGGGCCGATACCAGCGTCAGGGGCCGGACACCAGGTAGGATTCAGAACAGGAACTCCTGCGCGTGGAAAAGGAAAAAGGGTTTCGCTGGCGGCCAGAGATGCCATCAGAACACAGCTGGGGTGCGGCAGGGCCTTCAAAGATGAAACCCTTTCAAGCCACAAAGTAGAGCCTGGTTGTGTCCTCCGGCGAGCCATGCATCCATTCCCGAGGCCTTCCCCCGAGGGCCGGCTCCCTCCAGGCAAGGCGGAGGCAGACTCTGGGCCCATTGGATGGAGCGCCAGATGGACATCCAGAAGAGCCGATCCTCCCTTTCTCCCGGTTCACACTCCTCGGTGTGAACCTAGTCCTGTGCTACAACTCCCAAGCCTGACCCGCAGTGGACTCCTGTCTTAGCAACCCTCCCCACCTTACATGTGCAGCCCATGAGACAGCAGAGGCCCACGCGGCTGTGGGGAAGCTGGCGCAAGGGCTGGGGCATCTTACCCCGGAGGTCTCGTTCCTCTAATGTGCCAGCGTCCTCTGCTCAGCGTCCGGCCTGGGCCACGTCGGCAAATGTCACTGAATCCTGAAAGAACTCCCGGGATAAGTAGTCCTTCTGTCCATTCTAGAATGAGGTGGGAGCAGTGCTAGTAACAGCAAGGGATAAGAGGTGAGGGTCTGGAGTGGTTGTGCATCACTAGCACGGAGATCTAACACAAGCCTCGGGAAGTCCTGGAAAGAGAATCTGACCAAGCATCAGAAACCTGGGCCATGGCCCGGGCCTCCCACTATCTTCCCAAAGGACTTCCGTTCAATCACTTTCCTGGACTGAAATGCAGCTCCCCCACCAGCATAATGGGAATTACAACCCCAGCAGGCATCCGTTTCTTGGTAGACTCAGGCAGAAAGCAAAGGGAGGAAAGGCAGAAGCTGGAGTTCAGGTCCTGTAGTGTGTCATGCTGGGAAAAGAGGGAGAGGCCATAGCCAAAACCAGGGAGCAGTGACAGATTCCTAAGGCAGGCAGAAGGAAGAACAGCTCACCTGGGCCTCAAGCGTCTCAGGAGGGCCTGCCAGAACCTGGTTTCCTGGGCTCCATCCTGGGGGAGGGCAAGGCCCGGGGAGGGGGCAGGCAAAGCTAAGGAAAGTGAGAAGAGCCATGAGTGACAGCGGCCCTGCTTTTGGGTCCCCTGGTGATTTCCTTTCCCCTGGTTTAATATCTCATTCAGTCTTCTCTTGCACAGGAGCTGAGTGACAAGCCAGAGCACACAACCGTGAACACTGGGGGACACAGACGGCAAAGGGTTAATACAGGCAGGCTAGAGGGAACCCAGACAAGACAAATGAATGTTGGCCCAGGAACAGCCCGGAGAAGACAGACACAGATGGAGAGCCAACGGTAGCAAGACGGGCTCTCTGGGACAGGGCTCCTCGCAGCCAGCCTCAGAGAGGTCAGTGCTCACACTGCATAGGAAGGAAGTGTCCCCAAAACAATATCAGAAGAAAGACCTAAGTGAGAAGACAGGTGAGATTTTCCCCACTTTGGAAGGGCAACAAGAAAGACTGGGCCACTGGAGCGAAGAGAGGCAACGAAAGAGTGGGATCCTGGTCTCACTGGCCAGAAGCGAGGCCTTTTAAAGGCCTTACCCCACCCAACGCAAACGATGAAGCCGGTGCCCGTGAGGCCGACGCAGACAAGAAAGTTTCTGAGAAATGTCTGACCAAATGAAAAGGTGAACAAAACAACTAGAAAAAGAAGCCTCAAAGAAAAGATCTTCAAACACTACGTTGCTAAATAAAAGATCTGAATGATATGTTCAGATTTACCTTTTTCTTCCAGATTGCAAAATATGCTAAATGTTGTGATTATATTACCACAAATGTGTGTGTATCAGAGGCCTCCCATTTCAGCCAATACAAAGAAACAGGAACACAGTTTCTGTTCTGATGTCAGGTCAATTCACCAGTAAATGAAAAGGAGGCATTTTTTACACTAGCTCAAGGAGTAGACGACCCAGACATTCCAGAAAGACTTTTACATAAAATCAGGTATTATATTGAGAGGGACGGACGGACGGACACTTCTACTTCTGGCCAGGATATTGGAACAAAGAACAATGTCCTGCTGTAAACAAGTATCAAACTGGACAGAAGCGATCTGAAACAAGTTTTCAGATACTGGGCAGCAGGAAGTGCAGGATCATCATCCCGAGAGAAGAGAAACAACTGTGATGAGCCTTATCATTGCCCTGGCTCTGCCCGTGGGCCATGTCCAGACTGAGTGTGCAGGGAAGGGGGCCTCCAATAGAGCTTGGTGGCTTCATCAAGACACAGACTAGCATTCAGGACAGCTGATGCAGCTATAAGTTGCAGAGAAGAGTGTCAGAAAGGAGGGAGCAAGGCAGAAAAAAGGAGCTCCAAAAAAATCAGCATAGTGCTCCCCTTGGGCCTCTCCTGACTCCCAAGCCATGGTACATAATAAAACTCCCAAAGACTAGGAAAGGAAGGGCCTGGAGGCTTTAAGCTGAACAATTCCCAACCAACCAGAGTAGAGTCCTCAGTGATGCCTGGGGCCATTCAGTAGAGAATCAGAGGGGCTGTGCCTCAGTAGTAGTACTGACCATCTCCTGGAGCCACAGCTACCCTGAACGTGCTCTAGAAAAGCTTAAGAATAGGCCTTGATGTGATGAAGCCGTTCCACAAATAACTACGCCCTCAAAGGAAGTCCAACCCTCTTCAAAGTGAAGTAACAAACTCTAGCCGCTCAGCAATATCATCTGGAACACCAAGAAGCAGGAAAATCAGGTCAACGGACATAACTCAAAAGTGATGACTGGCAGAACTTACAGACAAGGACAACAAGACTGAGAGAAGAACAGAAACACAATGGAAAAAAATGAACGATATAAACAAGATACAAATGGGGCTTCTGGAGGTGAAAACTGTAACAGTTAAAATGAAAATTTCACTCGATGTGATTAGCAGCAGATTAGACACTGACCCCTGTCCCCCAAAAGAGATTAGAAAACTCGAGGATATAGCAACAGAAACTATCCCAAATGAAGATCAAAATGAAAAGAAAAAAGATATTTAAAAAACAGTGTCAGTGACCTGGATATAACAGAAAATCACCTAACACACATGGAACTGGAATCTGAAAAGAAGAGGAAAAGGGGGAGAGGATAAAAATGTAGTTGAAGAAATACAACTAATACAACAATACAATACAAATACAACGATACCCTAATTTGATGAAAACTAGCTCCAAGAAGCCCAGCCAACCCCTATCAAGACTAAACAAACCAACAACAAAACCAAAAAACCACATGTGCAGACCAAAACACGTCATAATAAAATTGCTGAACACTAGTGATAAAGAGAAAATCTTACAGCAGCAGGGTGGGGGGGGGCATGTCATGTTCTATAGAGAAGCTCAAAGATAAGAGTAACTGTGGACTTCTTATCAGAAAATGTGCAAGCCCCAAACAATTGAATGACATTTTTAAAGTGCTAAAGAGAAAAAACCCTGTCAACCTACAATTCTATATTCAGGGGAAATACCCTTCAAAAATGAGGGCAATATAAAAACTTTTTCAGACAAAAAGAATTGGTCACCAGCAGACCTGTACTATGAGACACATTAAAGAAAGTTCTTCAGGTGAAGGAAAATGATACCAGATGGAAACCTGGATCAACACAAAGGAATGAAGAACATCAGAAATGTAAAAACACTTTTACCCCCTTTATTTTTAAATCTTTAAAAAATAATGACCATTTAAAGCAAAAATAATAAGGTACTGTGGGATTTATACCATACATATAAGTAAAATGTATGATTTAGTGTTTTAGGAAGCCCTCCGAGACTCTGATGCATGCTAATAAGCCAGGAGTGGAGATAAAATACAATTCTAAAAAATAATCCAAAAGAGTAAAGCAACAAAGGAAAAAGAACAGAGGGGATAAACAGAAACAAATAGCAAGATGGCGAACTTAAGTCCAACTACATGGATAACTAAGTTAAATGTAAATGGAGTAAACACTTCAGTTGAAAAGCAGGGATTACTAGACTACATTAAAAAAACAATACTCAACTCTATGCCATCTGTAAGAAGCTTTAAATATAAAAACTTTAAATGTAAAGACATACATAGGTGAAAAGTAAAAGCATGGAAAACAATATACTATAGGACAAAACAATCCCACTGTCAAAAATAAGAGAAGGAAAGGGTGAATGATGAATGAGGCTCAGAGGGCTGGAGACCTTACTGAAGAGTCCTAGAACTTAGACCAGGAAGAAAACTGAAGAGCTTAAACATAAAATCAACAAGTGGTGGAAAACAAGAAAAAAAAGAAAAGAAAAAGAAAAACAAAAAAAAAATCAACAGGTGGCTAATATAGATGACACACAGATTACAAAAATGCAAATCCTTTAAAGAAGATGGAGACAGTAACTGTTCACTAAAAAATCCAAAGAGAGTAGGGACGGAGAGAGAACAGCCAACTACATATTTGCAATTCAGGGGAAAAAAGGAGTAAACGGAGTGACTTGTTGCTGAACTAAGCACAGCTCTAGCCATAATGTGTGCCACACTGGGGTAGAGTCTGGATTTAGAAAGGTCTTCTGCTTTCTGTTCCAGTACCATGTGAATTTTTAGTAACCGAGCTGCATTTCTTTGGTAATCAGAAAAGAGTAATAATTTAAAAAGATTTGGGTAGACTTTAGATAAGACAGGCTGATGGGAATGTGTGGGCAGTCCCAGAAAGCTCAGAGATAGGAAGGACCGTGGGGTTGGGACTTCCTGGGCTCCTCTCCGCAGGCTCTTGGTGCCATCACGGGTGTGAGCAGAAGGCCTCCTTTAGTCTCAACATCCACAGAAGCCCTAGCCTCGTCTTTAGCTCACTGCCCAGTACAGGTACTTCCCTGGTGTGTGAGTGACACCCCAGATGCCCAGCAGCTACTCTCTCTGTGGCCCACTGTCAGCTGGGTAGGGCCCCTCTGAGCACTTGGGAGTCTTCCTGGTGTATATCTGAGGTCTGGTTTGACTTTGGCTTCCGATACAAAACAAACTGGTTACAGAATCCTTACACAATTCATTACGAAAACTCACTTCCATTGACATGGAGGTTTTGCTGCCACGTGGAACGGGGCAGAACATCTCACACTTACCTTCTGAAAAACATGGTCCGTTACAACCTTGTCTCACTGTCCTCAAGCCAGAGACCCGAGGCCTTAGCCCCTTACAAAGACCCCAGCCCGGCCCACCTGGCCCAAATCCTGCACCCTACATCTCAGTCATTCCTTCCAGACACCCTGGCATTCATTCTGTCCCAACTATGCCAAGGTGATGCCCCCTCAGGGCTCTGAACATGCCACAGGTGGTTCCTTCTAAGAATTCAGACCTCAATCAAGTGTCATCTCCTCAAAGTGTCTTCACTCTCGAGCCCAATCACCGTTTACTCATAACACTTCTCACTACCTAACAATCATCCTCAAATGAAATTGTTTGTCTTTACCTGACTCCCCAGGAGAAATGTCACCTCCCATAGGATACAGACCTTCTCTTTCCTGGCCCTGAATCCCCAACATCTGCAGGAGCTCCTGGCATCAAGTGGACATGGGATAAGCTGTGGGGAGAGGGGAGTGCTAACAGGAGCGAACCTCTAGTTACAGAGCACCTTCTACATGTTTGGTCCTGTGCTTCTCCCTTCTCGTAAGTTAATCACCGAGACCAATAATTCTCACTGCCTCCATTGCACACAGAAGTAAGTCATGGACTCAAGAGGTCAAGTAACTCGCCTAAGGTCCAGCTCCCAAGATTTAAGACTTTTCGAACCACACCAAAGAAAGGCAACAGGCTGTTATTGAATGTCCTCAGAGCCTGATGGTTTATATGGACTTAGGCAACTGGCTTTAAATCATCCTATCAATATGCCATCACAGACCCTTGCTTGCCAATAGTCACACACATCATTCTCTCTCTCTCTCTCTCACTCGCACAAAGTTCTTCCAAGTCACCCATGTTTAATTGAGCATGTGCTCCTCAAGTGTTCTATTTAATTGAGCAGAGCCTATCAAAGTGTTTTCACTTAATTGGAATGATTAACTGTTGAAATCCTGCAGCCACAACCCCCATGTGAATTATTAATTATGCTTTCCTGTGTAGCAACAGGAGTGGCCCTTCCCGTAGCAGGCTTGCCCAGGAGACGTAACCCGCAAGAACTTCAGGTCAGCACACGCACTCCCAGTGCGCACGGACGTACAGCGGTCATCGAGAAAGTGCTCACAAAAACAGACGGGAAAAAGGGAGCCCCGCTTTCACCAAAGTAGCTAAATTCTGTATGATGAAATACACATTAACCCCCACTGCAGTTAAAAGTAAAATTATCACCAATCCCGAAGATCATGTGATCGCTCAGAAGCCATGCTATATGGCTGCTCTACTTTGAAATGGTGGGACGAACCTGGAAAAGATGCTGGATGCTGTGACAAAAATGACAAGTACAGATGTCCACTGCCTTCCAAAAGTGGAGCTGCAGGGTCAAGTCAAAGCAATTCCAGGAAGAATATGAAAACCACAGGAACGCACCTGATGGGTACAGAGGATGCTGCAGACCTTGACCGGAAGGCACTTTCATTCACCCGAATCTCATAACCCTACACCCACCTGGGAAATGGCAATCGGGAGAAAGAGTATGGGAAAACAAATCTCTGCCTCTTAACAGAATGACATTAGGCTCCTTCTTTCCATGGGCTCTGAAGTGTAGTCTAAGGCCTATCCACTCCCGGAGAGCGAGCCCCCCTGCCAATGGTGGACCGCAGACCCCACCCCAGACCAAGCGAAGTGCCATGGACACCGTGGCTATTTGATGAACACAGGGAGACCCTCTGGATGTGAACCCCCTGCCTGACAATCCGAAAAATCACGCATTCTACAGCATGAGAGCTCAGGGGAGTGCAGAAATAATCCTGCCCATGTGCTTTAGATGGCAATGTAAATTTTAATCTACTTACTTAAATCAAATTTTCTGTATAGAATCAGAAACATTAAGAGAACCGAAATAACCATTCCACTTTGATATGAAAGAACAGAAATTAAGAGCTGAATTCAATGGAGACAAAAAACCAACCCATGTCAAAAAAAAAATAGTGAATAATTAAGTGTCTTTTGGTTGCATTGGAGCTCAGAATCCCTCCTCAGAATGTGCTAGTGAAGTCTGCATCTGAGTGGGCAGATCCCCCTGCCCCATCACTGGGGCAGGGGAGAGGCAGCAAGACCACCCAAACTAGATCTATCTAGCAGCTTCCAGAAACTTCTAAGGGATGCCAGAAATACCTGGACTCCCTGGAACATCTAAATAAGGACCTGTAGCAGAATGTCCTCAGGCCCTGGAAGACAATAGGTAGCTCATGGTGTTCAGTTCAGTTCTGGGCCAGAGCAAAAATGCCCTGGAGCGTGTCTTTATAGACCAGACAAGAGACCTCACTCTCCAGCATCTAATTCAGATGGGTGCCTGTGGCTTTCTGTCCCGTGCAAACGATCACCTAGATTCCCAGTTCTCCTCACCGGATGTCTGTCCTCCTTTGAGTCCTGCTGCTTAGACTGAGAACTGTCTCTGGGCAAAGATGGTTCAGCGACGCTGACATACATGAAAATACAAGCGCTTCCAGAAAGGAAAGGATATTTCCCACCATCTTGCATCCTCACTCGCGGGGACTTCTGACAGCATGACCAGCTTTAAGGCCAGCAGACATGGTCTGTCAACTCCCAGACTTACCAAAAGAGACATGCAAGGATGGCTCATTGTGTCTTAGGCTGATTCTGAGTTGTAAAGTCAGGCGGGTAAGATCCCACCTGTTGGGACTGAAATAATTCAGGGGGACAGAAGCAGACTTGGGGGCACCTTCCAGGAACATGTCTCTTTGGGTCATGTGTGCTTGACCGAAGGACGGGTTGGGGGACAACACACACCGCCAAAAATCCCAATCCAACCCAGCCAGGCAAGGCCAGGATGCTGACCCAAGCCTCTGGGCTGGAGCTGACATTGGCCTTCATGTGCTCTCAGCGTGTCTCACCAGGAAATGGCCACCAAGGCCTTAAAGGGAGAGGGCCAATCCTGTATTGTGCAAATGTGCTGCTGCCAGAAGTGGCAGAATCCTAAAGGGCCAAGGAAGGGTGTTTCACCAGGAAAGTCTGTTTCTCTTGGGATGTTTGTGTCTGTGTGTGTCTTTTTCCATGTGCGTGGGTGGGAGGCATCTGTCTCCATCTTCCCCAGTTCTCCTCTCTTACTTCACTTGGGCACCTGTCCCTCTCTGTTTAGGTTGCCGTTTTCTTTCCCTTCTATAAAAAGCCAGAAGGTAGACCAGAAGGGGATTTTGTAGTGTTTGTTGTACTTAACTGAGAAAAGGTTTATGCTCCTCCTTTCCCAAGAAGGCGCATGGCATCCTACTAAAAACCAACATAAATTATAAGTATAGGTTCATTTAGGTTACATTGCCCTGGACATGGGATGGGCTCTACAGATATGAGGGGCTGCTCATTTGGGGAGCCCAGGCAGGTTAGGACCAGGGCTGGATCAGTGTGCTACAATCCTGGCTTGGGGTTTGCTAAGAGCTCAAGGGGCAGAGTAGGAGGTGTGGGTGGGGCCAAGGAATCTGCATTTGCAACCAGCATTTTGAGGACTGGAATGCAGAACTATGCCTTGTCAGTACTGGGCCCATCTAGAATATGGAGACTTCCTCACCACCAGCCCTTGGCAGACAGGATTCAGGCCTGTGACCTTCCAGTGTGGGATCCCACTGTGCTGACTGTCAGACTTCTGGGAAGAGAATTAACACTTTCTAGTGATTTTTCCAAGGGGTCTCTCACCCAAAGAAGGCTGCAAATCACCATTCAGTAGGGTTCTAAACACAGATCCAGGGACATTTTTGGGGAACGGATTGGACTGTACCAGGTACTGTGCAAGCTGCTTCTCCTTAAAGACTCAATGGGGGAGGGAGGATGGGGAATGGGGTGAGGTAGCATTAGTACCCAGAGGGGGTGCTGTTCTGGCAATCTCGTCTGAAATCCTTTGGTAAAGGAAAAATGTCGGGTCTGAGGTTTAAGAGAAAATATTTCACTGACCAAGGAGACTAGGGGGGGCTCGCAGCCAAGCTAGGCCAATGCTGGCTGGAGGGCGTCAGTTGGAACAGGGTGGGACCTCTGGGAAGAGGGCCAGGATTGGAGGGGGGTTGTTTGAAAGGGACCATGGGCTTTGGGCGGCAGGCAAGTGTGTGTTTGTGGGGGTAGGATGGAAAAAGACATGTAATTAATCACCCAAATATAGACTAGAGGCAGCAAAGGAGTTTAAGGGGGAGGCACAGGAGCAGGAGATGGTGGCCCTCAGAAGGGCGACAAAAAAAGCCCTGTTCAGACCTAGAGCCTTGAGCTCATCTTCACCCAGCAAGCGTTGCCCCCTCGAGCTCCTTCACAGCTCTTGGGCTCTGGGCTATCCCTCCTTCCCTCCCCACCAACCTGAGGCTCAACCTCTATCCAGAAGGAAAGGAGGGACCCCATGAGCAAGAACCGTCCCCAGCTCATCCACCCAGCGGTCCTGACTGCGGCTCGGCCCTTCCCCCAGACTGGGGGAAAAGCCCTTTAACCTTTCCAACGCCCCCTCTCCCTCAGCCTCCGTTGCGCTCGGGGTTGGGGTCCCCTCCTTCCCATAATGACCAGTTCCCAGCGTCTCCCCCAAGGCAGCGTAGGCCTCGGCACATCCGCGATTCCCGTCCCTGACCGCCGCCCCCCGCCCGCCGCAAGAAGGCCTTCAGGCCTCCTCGTACCCGCCATCTGGGACTCGTCCTTCACTTTGGATGGCCTCAGGGCTGAGCAGCTTCCTGCGGGCCCAGAGACGCCCCCCGAGAACGCTTGGCCTCCAGCCACCGCACACTCTGCGGAACACTCACCCTAGCCCCGCGCACTCTCCCAGGCCGCCCCCCTGCGCATCCTTCCGTGGTCCAAACGATCAGCCCAATCCCTCACACCCTCCACGCGCCCTCGGCACATCCTCCCGTGGCCCTCATGCTCACCCCAGCCCCGCGGCGGCCAATGCGCTGCCCTCGGCGGAGCGGCGTTGGAGCGGCGCTGGCGCGGCCCAGACAGGCCCGGCGTGGCAGGAAACGCCACGGAGCCGCCAGCGCCCGCCTGAGCCCCAGCAGCCCCGCGGCGCGTTTCCGGAGCCGCGGGCGCCGCCGGGGGTAGTGGGGGAGCAAGGCCCCGCCCCGGCCCCGGCCCCGCCCGGCCAGCCAGCCCCAATTGGCCTGGAGAGGGGGCGGGGCGGGAAGGGGGCGGGGCTGAGGCGGGGGGGGAGGGTCAGGCGCGACGGCGGGGGATTTGCGCGTGCGGGCCAGAAGCTTAGCGGGGGGGGCGTGGGGGCGGGCTGGGCTGAACGTACGAATGAATGAATGAACAAACGAACGAACGACTGAATGAGCAAATGAACCAACTAGCCCATGAAGGAAGGAATGAAGGAATGGAAAGAACCGCGCCCCCTCGGACGCCTTCTGGACGGGGGTGAGGGTGGGGGATGGGAACAGAAAGCAAAGCAGAGCAAAGCCAGCTCTCACGGGAGGGGTCAAAGAGCCTCACTGAGTCACCAATGCTATTGCGAGCCCCTGCAGTAAGGATAGAGCTATGAGCAAAACCAGGGCGCACGGAGCGCGCGCATTTGGCATCCAAGAGCTCCTGTGAGTGTGTGTGTGTGTGTGTGTGTGTGTGTGTGCATGTGTGTGTATGCGCGCACGTGTGTGGGAATGGGGGTAGAGGGGAAATGTATTCGAGTTAATTTCAAAATAGGTCAGACTATGAAGAAGAACCAACAGGATTCTTCGGGGAGGGGGGTGCGTTGCAGCCAGGTCCAGAAGAATTTGGTGCCAGTCATTAGAAACCTAGGAACCTGCCGTTGCCCAGTAGTGTGCTAAGCCCGTTGATGCTTTCTTGAAGACTCCTGTTTCCTAAGGAAGGCAGTCATACACATGGGAGTGATAGTGGGGGAGTTCAATAAGGCTACCGTGGATGTGAGACTTGAATGATGAGGACTCAACCATGTGAATGTTGTTGAAGACGGGAAGGGCATCAGTAAAGAAACAGCAAGTGCAAATGTCTTCTGCCAGGAATAAATTGGGTATATTCGAAGACAAAAAGGAAAATGCTGGACTGTAATAAGCCAAGTGAAAAAAGAGCCACACTGCTGGGGTGAAGCTGGGCACTGAAACTGAGTCTGAAACACATGGCTTAACACTTTTTTTTCATTCTTTATTAATAAGCATTTAATGCTTTATTGGCGATAATGATAACCAACTTCTTAAATATTCTTGTAACAATTTTATCCATTAGACATTAACAACTTTTTTCTTATTTTCCTTCAGATTTTATTATGAAAACTTTGCAATATGCAGATGAATTCAAAGATCTGTACCTAGGTACCAAACACTACTCTACAATTAACATTATGCCATACTTGCTTGATTACAAGGTCACGCTTATTTCATTGATTCATTTCAAACTGAGCTACAGACATCAGTAGGCTTCACCTCCAAACACTTCAGCATGCATAGCATTAGCTAGAGATGAATACCTGTTCACTGTTTTTCTTTTTTAAAAGATTTTATTTATTTGCCAGAGAGAGCAAGCGAGACAGCAGGAGGCAGAGGGAGAAGTAGGCTTTCCCCTGAGCAAGGAGCCGGAAGCAGGTCTTGATCCCAGGCCCCTGGGATCATGACCTGAGCCAAAGGGAGATGCTTCACCGACAGCGTCACCCACACATCCCCCTGTTTACTGTTTCTTTGCAGGTAAAATTTGCTGCAGTGAAACACACAAATCTCAGGTGCCCCATGTCGTGCGTTTTTACAAACACATACTCCGGTTTCCTGTCATGATACAGAACACTCGAGACCTCAGAAAATTTCCCTTGTGTCTGTTTCTAGTCAGTCACTACCACAACCCCACACAGAGGCAACCGTGGTTCCAGCTTTTCTCCCCATAGATACCTTTTTCCTATTTGAGAACTTCCTGTGAATGGTGTCCTGCAGTATGTCCTGTTTCGTGTCTGGCTTCTTGCACTCAGTATGATGTTGAGATTCACCTGTGTTGTCGAGTGTGTTATCGCTTCTTCCCTTTCATTACTGAGTGTCTCCCGTTGTCTGGATATATTTGAGCTGGTGTATTCATTCACCAGCTGATGATCTGGGCGGTTTCCATTTTGGACTATTATAAATAAGGCTGCTATGAACATTTGTGTACAAATTTTTGTAGACATATGCTTTCATTTTACTCAGATAAATACCTAGAAAGGAAACTGCCACGTCATAGGGTAGTTGTTTTATAAGAAACTGCCAGAATATTCTGCAAAGTGGTTGTAGAATTTATGTTCCCACCAGAAATGTATGAAAGTTCCTTTTCTTTCCAATCTTCCTTAAGGTTTGTGGTGTCAGCCTTTATTTTTAGCTATTTAAGTGGGTGTGAAGTGGCAACTCATTGTGATTTTAATTATCATCTCCCTGATGACTAATCATGTTGAGGATGATGTTTTTATGTGCTTACTGGCCATTTCTATATTTTATTTAGTAAAGTATCTGTTCAAATAGATTGCCCACTTTTATAGGGTTGTTTGTCTTTTTCATTATTTATTTGTAGGTGTATTTTTTTAAAAAACAGATCTTTTGAGGTATATTTGACATATGATAACTGGGTATGTTTAAACTGTACCATCCAATAAGGTTTGACACATATATATATATATATCTCCATGAAGCCATCACCACATTCAAAGTAATAAACATATCCATTACTCTCAAAGTTTCCTTGTGTCCCTTATAGTCCCTCTCTCCTGTCTCTTCTTCTTCTCTTGCTCCTCTCGTCTTTAAGCAATCAATGATCTGCTCGCTGTCACTACAGGGCAGTTTGCATTTTCTAGAGTTTTACGGAAATGGAATCATAAAACCAGTGTTCTTTTGGGTATACTGTGATGGTTTATTCATTCATTGGTTGATGGACATTTGGGTTGTTTCCAGTTTAGGGTAACTACAAATAAAATTCCTATAAACATTTGTGTATAATCCTTTATGTGTACATATATTTCCTTGGGTAAATACTAAGAGTGGTATGACTGTATGATACAGTAGAGGAACATTTGACTTTTTAAAAAAATTACCACGCTGTTTTCCAAAGTGGTTGTATCATTTTACATACCCACTAGTATTGTAGGAGAGTTCCAGTTCCACATTCTTATCAGTACTGAGTATGCTCAGTCTTTTAAATTTTAGCCATTCTAATAGATGTCTAGTGTAATCTCATTCTGGTTTTAATCTAGATTTCCCTGACTAATGGTGTTGGGCATATTTTTATGTCCTCATTAGCCATCGTATACATTTCTTTGGTGAAAGGTCTGCTTAGACCTTTTGCCCAGTTTATTATTATTGGGATTGTTTTTCTTATTATTGAGTTATAAGAGTTCTTTGTATATTCTGAATACAAGTCTTTTGTCAGGTATATGCCTTGCAAGCATTTTCTACCAATCTATGGCTCGTCTCTTCATTCTCTTCACAGTGTCCTTTCAAGAACAGAAATTCTAAATTTTGATGAAGTTAAATTTATCAACCTGCTCTTCTATGGGTTGTGCTTTCAGTGGCACAGCTAAGATATCTTTATTTAACCCAAGGTCACAAAGATCTTGTTTTCTTTTCTTTTCTTAAAGATTTTATTTATTCATCTGAGAGAGATACAGAGACAGAGATGGACAGAGAGAGCACAAGCAAAGGGAGAGGCAAAGGGAGAGGGAGAAGCAGACTCCCCGCTGAACTGGGAGTCTGACATGGGACTTGATCCCACGACCTGGAGATCATGACCTGAGCTGAAGGCAAACGCTTAACCATCTGAGCCACCCAGGCGCCCCAAAGATCTTGTTTTCTTTTAGAAGTTTTATGGTTGTACATTTTATACTTATTTAGGTTTCTGATCCATTTTGATTCAATTTCTGTATGTAGTGTGAGACATGAGTCCAAGTTCATTTTTGTGACTGTGGATATTCAATTCTTCCAGCATCATTTTTAAAAAGATTTTATGTATTTGTTTTTTTTATTTACTTATTTGAGAGAGAGAGAGGGAGAGAGCACAAAAGCAGAGGGAACAGTAGAGGAAGAGGAAGAAACAGGCTCCCCGCTGAGCAGGGAAACTGATGCAGGGCTTTATCCAAGGACCCTGGGATGATGACCTGAGCCGAGACAGAGGCTTAACCCACTGGGCCCCCCAGGAGCCCCCCAGCATCATTTGTCAAAAAGGCTATCTTTCTTTACTATTTTTTGTGCCTGTATCAAATATCAGTAAATGTGTGGATTTAAGACTTTCTTTGCTGTTCTGTTGTTGTATTTTCCCTCTTTACAGTTTTGATTTGTATAATATTCTAACAATCTTCGAAAGCACGTAGTTTAAGTTCTATAACTTTGTTTTTTCAGTGTTGTTTTAACTAGCTCAGGTTTTTTTGCAATCCCATATACATTTTAGAATCATATTAGTTTCCAGAAAAAAAAAAGTCTGCTGGGATTTGGATTGGGATTAGATTAAATTCTGTAGAATAGTTTGGGAAGAATTGATATCTTAGCAGTATTGAGTCTTTTGGCTCCTGAACAAGGTCTCCTTCTCTCATTTTGGTCTTTAACTTCTCTCGGCAATATTTTATAGTTTTCAGTGTTTGGGTCTTTTGTATCTTTTGTCATATTTATTCCTACGTATTGCCCATTTTTGGTGCTATTTTGAGTGACATTGTTTTAAAATTTTTAAATTTCTGATTGTTTATTGCTAGTATATAGAAATACAGTTGATTTTTAAAAAAATGTTTTAAAAGATTTTATTTATTTATTTGACAGAGAGATCACAAGTAGACGGAGAGACAGGCAGAGAGAGAGGGGGAGGCAGGCTCCACGCTGGGCAGAGAGACCAACTCGGGCCTCGATCCCAGGACCCTGAGATCATGACCTGAGCTGAAGGCAGAGGTTTAACCCACTGAACCACCCAGGCGCCCCCAGTTGATTTTTGTATATTGGTCTTATATCCTGCAACCTGTTAAACTCACATATTTATACTTTTTTAAAAAGATTTTATTTATTTATTTGGCAGACAGAGATTACAAGTAGGCAAGAGAGGCAGGCAGGGAGAGAGGTGGAAGCAGGCTCTCTGTGGAGC